CTCGTACCGACCCCTCCGCTTATGTTATACTGCACGTATGGCCAGAAAAAACACGCGTTATTCCAGTAACATGATCAAGGAATCCGGTGACATGAAAGCAGAGGGGAAAAAAAAAAGCTAAGGGCCAAGTCCAGAAGGAAGAGGCAGTTGACGGAGATGCTAAGTGTGGATTAAAAAACCAACCCCATCACAGCAGGCTGTCGCCAGGCTCGAACAGAGAAATGATGCGGTCTGAGGAAATCAACACTGATGAAGAAAACATCCTGGCCAAACAGCTGTCCTTCAGCCACCCCCCAAAATTCATGCTACTTTTATTTATTATTAAAGCTTCTGGCAGACCGATCTTCCCAAAGGATAGACGGAGAAGAAAGATCAAGAAAAGGAGTAATTGATGGCCGAAGCCTAGCGCTGTCAGAACAGCCAGCAGCTAATGAATACAGGGACAGAGGTTAAGATGCAACCGTTCGGTTCGGCCTTGCCTTGCCAGAAGGGTGAGTGTGAGCCAAATAAACTCTATGAACGCCTTGCAGTAGGTTGGTTTCTTCCTACCATATGGAGCAGCAGGTGACTTGTGGAGCAGACGGATTAGCGTATGACCAGGTCTCTCAACTGTGAAACACCTTCATCAGCTGTGAAGACGCTCAGAGGTTTCGTGTGAATTTATTAAATTGGGATACAGGGATACTTGGTACCTTGAAGATGATCTGAGGTACCTAAAAATACAGAAAAGGCTGCAGAAATTTTTCCCTTCACAGTTGGATTTTTTTTTTTTTAATATAAAAGTTTAAACAGAGCAAGCATTCATATTTCAGTCCCAAGATGTTTCTTAGAAATCTCGTCATCCCCTGGCCACCCCAGTATTTTGTAAGTCTAAAGTAAGAATGTCATTGTTTCCACAGTAACGATGTGAAAGTATATCCCCGACTGCATACTGGTGTAGTCACAGATGTAACATACTGCACCCACGAAGTACATTGATAGTCACAGATGTAACATACTGCACCCACGAAGTACATTGATAAAAAATTAGATAAAAATTAGACTCCTTTTTGCAACATAGCCTTGCATCTATTTCCCACCACCGCCTGAAAAGAAATCAGGTCACCTCAGAACACAGCAAACGGGACGTAACTGGGACAAGACATCCTCTTCTCAAGCTATAATCAGCAAGTGCCTCAGGTGCCTGGCTAGGAGTCCTCTCGTACGGGCATAGAGCTCTTCGGTTTCAGCTTGGTTTTGTGTTTCTCCTGATGATACAGTGTAAACTGCTGCACTGAAACGGAAAAGAAGCCAACCTGTTGCCTGCTCTGAACAGTTTCTATACCTTCCTTTTATTGGAGTTCCCTCTTCTGCCACGTGATGTTTCTTATGGCTCTTCAGGCAAAGTGGGACGATCTAAACCACCTTGAGACTGTCAGCCCTCAGTCTGCTTCTTGCCAATGGGTTGCTGGTCTATGTCTGCCAGGTTTCTTTCCAGATGTCCGTATTTTGGAATACTGGGCCTCAAAATGATTGCATGATTTCAGAGGGAAGTTCCCAACAGTCTGAAATGGGGGAAGTTTCTGGCATCTTCCCAGAGAAGCCACCCCTGCACACACACACCCCCACTACCAAAACCTTGCCACCCAAACCCAATACACCATTTTGGGTGGCAAAGACTGTGGAGGATTTGGTAGTAAGTGTATTACTGCACCCACAGTGACAGACACAAACAGAACACTGCCCTTCCTTATTTGGGAACCTTTCCTGAATTCACTCGTCATCAACCATCCTTAAAGATATAACCAAGAATGACATTTTGAACAAAATGTAAATACGCAAGTTAGCAAGAAACAGAATAGAAGTCCCCCAAAAAGGTTATAACTACCATCAAACTTCTTTCCTGGGTCTTAAACCTGATAAATCATAGAATTGTTTAGATTGGAAAAGACCTTTAAGATCATCCAGTCCAACCGTAAATCTAACCCTGCCAAGTCCACCACTAAACCACATCCCTCAGCATCACATCTACCTGTCTTTAAATACTTCAGGGACGAGGACTTGACCACTTCCCTGGGTAGCCCCTTCCAATGCTTGAAAACCCTTTTGGTGAAGAAATTTTCCCTAATGCCCAATCTAAACCTCCCCTGATGCAACTTGAGGCCATTTCCTCTCGTCCTATCACCCATTACCCGGGAGAGGAGACCGACCCCCACCTCACTACACCGTCCTGTCAGGCAGCTCTACTTCACCTGTTTAGAAAGTTAACACATTGAATGGCATTCGCCCTTCCAGCTTGACAAGACAGAAATTGCCCCTTCTCCTGTTTTTATTCTTAACTTCTAATGCATTCTGCACAGATGAATGTATTCAATACAAGGGATGTAAACAGGCTAATCCCCATTTTTATACACACATGGCATGTAGCTTACATTACCATTCTGTTTTTAAACAAACAAATACTCCTTCTGACTTACAACCTCATAATCAGCAAGGAAGTCTTAAGATTTTTACAAGATGCCAGAACTGATATACGTACCCTTTATTGTATATACATCTTAGTAACAGTGCAATCTCTGCTTTTAATATCCCAGAGACACCATCCGCGATCACTAATGACAAGCCTGGTTAAAAGGCAATTTCCTTCACTTTTTGAGAATGTCAGGCACTTTCTGCAGCACAGCACAGAACGTGGAATTCTGATTTGTATCCTCTCGCTTTCTTCGCTGCCTGCAAATTCCAACAATACTTTAACTGAATTCTAAAGCCATTTCCGTGCATTTAAAAATGAACTATAGCAAAACAGAAGAAAATGGTTCAGTGACATTTTGCCTGCCACTTGATTTCTTCTTCAGCTCAAAAACTTAATGAGACATCACCTCTTCATACCACCTTCCTGCTGGCGTAGGTTCTCAGACCTTATGACAGAAAACTGTGCCATTTCACTGATCTTTCTGCTTCCCTGAAGCAAAATGACATCACTCAGTGCATGTGAATTCCGTTTTTGAAAAAGAAAACGGTAATAATTTCTTATTCCTAGCAATGGGAAATGTAACTATAAATTCATGAAATAGCTACAGGAAAACAGTAACTATTAATGGCAAGAAGTCCATGTAAAAGCTTCTGAGTAATTGCAAGGAGGGAAACAATCCAAAAGGAATTGAAATTAATAAGGTTTGGGGACACACACACACACACACACAAAAGAGGCTGAAATGGAAAAATGCAAGTAAACAGAAAATATAAAAGGAGACCTGAAAAAGACCCCAAAATGGCACTGCACAGAAAGTTAAAAGTGAACAAGAGTCATGACGTGGCCAAAAACCAGATCAATGAATTTTGCAAAAAGCATAACTTTATAGAGCAGAAAGCTACTATTTTCCCTCTTTGGGGGTCTGGTTACTACTTCAGAATCAGTTTTGGATTGCTGGTTCTGGGAGTATTTTTGTATTGGATTTGGCTCCACTGATCAGAACAAATGCCATCAGCTTAATAAAATAATGGCAATTATTAAGACATGCCTTAAATACCCAAGCACGTTTCACAAATGAAGGTACAGGATTGAATGGTGAAAGGTTTTCAAGGATTTTCAAGGGCATACATTTGTCATTGGTACTTTCAAACATCTCATATCTGATTTTTTTTTTAAGGTTGAGCCAGCATTAAAAGTAGTGCATAAATCATAAAAACTTCACACACTTTGAATACACAAAGCAATGCAAATATTTATACACTATCCTGAAAGTGTAAGCTACACAAAGAACTGAACTTGCAGTTTAAATTAATCTTCAGTGTACTTTAATACACTATACAGTATCTTACAACCAAATACAACCTTTAGTTAAAGTATCTGTAGTTTAAATGGATTCAACGGTAAAAGTTGAAGCTTGTTAATTATAAAGTGGTAGACAAACTTACCATTGTGTAGTGTGTAACACGTATCAATTTATACAGCTTTTTAATCATGTTCTTGCAGAATCTTATAAGGAATTTAAGAGTCTGCTCCAACTCCGTGCATTTTTTGACATTGATTAGTTAAAATTAATGAATCCTTTGATGAATTCCATAGAAATGGTGTTTCCACCGGAAAACAGAGACGTCTGAAATTACTTTCAGCACCTGTTAAAACCTATTCCAGTAAGCAACCAGCAAAGATGTGCACAGGCAGCTAAATTAGGAAAGGAATATAAACCCCTGTTAACAAAAATAATTTGTTTTTTAGAACGTACAGGTAACTTACTAGAAAATCAACTTTTGAAAAGCACAAGCAAATGAAAATAGGTTTAGAATAACATCTTTTCTATTCTTTTTACTAGGCATTTTTTATAGATCTGATTTATTAAGTTTATAATATTGCTTTATAATATTGTAATATTAAGTTTATAAGACCTTGCTATTTGTCTTCTGCCACCGATGACAAAGCTGGGTATTTTATAACAGAGGTAACATTCATTTCTTCCCACTCATTCCATTTTATTAACTCAGTGCCTATCAGGTTGTTTTTAAAATTCCCATAAAGTAGAATATGAAAAACATTAGTTAACTGACTTTGCTTTAACGTTGCCTTAAAATTGTGTTACCACTTTTTTAAAAAAAAAAGAAAGAAGAATTAGTTTTTATTTTACATATTGTCTGAGCTCGTAATTGTATTTTCTTCATGCAGCAACCGTGAAGATTAAAAATATTCTTGAGCAATCTTGCTTAACTTATAAGTTGTTTCTCCATCTGAAGTTGGGAGACGCATCATGTACTGTTGAGAAAATGAGACCAAATCAGTCACAAACGAACACTTAGATGCTATATATAAACACTAGACTATCTCAAACTTGACCTGTGCATGCATACATATGTCTGTACATGTGATTTTTTTATTAAAACTATTGGAATAGTTTCCTTCAGGCCAGTGTTGAGTTTTAATGGAAGGTATAAACATACACTGTTTCACAATGTAACCTAGCAATCTAAAGAATGATTAATAAAAAAGGGTTTAATAATCCTACAGTTATTTACAGTTCAGAATATTAGAATTTCTAGATATTAAGAAATCTGAGGTAGCAGAGCATTTCTTGCATTTTCTGAAATGTATGAACTTCAGAGAAAAAATATCTGTGCTGCTACATTAAGAACAGTTAAATTATTTTTATCTCTTCATCAGCTGTGTTTTAAAAATGCGAAACAATGACCAAGATACTTAGATCCAAACATGGGAGAAAGCTTACATGTGCATAGTGTGCCACGCTCCTGATTACAAGACATTATTTTTCTGTTTAAAGTGAGAAAAGTAAATCTGTAAAGGCAGTATCACTCCTAACTGAAGTTGTAGAAGTTACGCACTAACGGAAACTGCAAGCCCTAGAACGAAGTGGGGAATTAATGACTGCAGCAGACAGCATATGGCCACAATTTGCATGGAGTAGCTCTCTTGTAACACTGTAATATGCCTGTCACATTCATTACCGATACTGACAACACATTTCTTTGGAAAAATATTTTCTGAAAATTAAGCAGACAGTGTTATGACTGCAGCTTGAGTCTTCCATAAGGAGAACAAAACTTGAAATACTGCAACTCAGACTATGTGGAAAGGACATGGTATCAAAACCAAATGAACAAGTCATGAGTATGCAAGCATTTGTATGCTACATGCTCGGAACCAACAGAATCAATTTTCCTTAATAGGTGTCCTTAATTTGAACTGAAAAACTGACAAAGGTCACATGATGTTAAGTGTTTATCATGGATCTGCGTCAAAGCTTGTATTTAAAAATTTAACAACTGTTTCCATACTGCAGAGGTCAGCACAGAAAAACCCCATGTGTTCTGATAAGATTGCTTTCCTTCTCCTCCTCTGTGAGCACAAATTGAAGATTAAAAACCGAAACAAACCAAAAAACTTTAAAGAGCACTTCTTGTGCTTTGTGGAAAGCTGAATCAAGGATCTCCATCTGGAGTAGAAGAGTCACAACAATTCTTCTGATTAGTATCTCCTTTAGTTATTTAAACTTTCCAGTAATTTCAAACAGTTGCTACTTTGTGAGCAGATATCTGAAGCCGACTGAAGCTCTGTTATCTGCTGTCTCTTCAAAATTCAAAGGTGATTTCTGAGGAAAGCTGAGCTATTTTTGTCCAGTAAGCATGAAAAATGTGTTTGGGGGGAAAAAAAAAAAAAACTAAGACAAAAAAAACCCACAACCCCTCACCCCCCCAAGCTTAAGAACTAAAAGTCACTAGCTTACTCAGACAAATTAATTCCTGGACATTTAAGATGCATACACAGTGTCTTCTTGTAGGGAAGACTGCAAGTCTACCTTTAAAGAGAAAGTCAATTTATCCTTCACCTTCATCTAAACAGAAAATGCTGTTGCTTGAGCTACTTTGGCCAGTGAAAAGGAAGGGATAAATTGCTAACAGCACCCGATATCCCAGAGGAACCTTGTGGAGCCAAACTGTAGAAATGTGTAGGTCAATAATGTATGTTAATAACCAAGAACTGAAATCACATTTGAAAGCTGGTGCAGTATCATGTTGGTAAGCTTCCACGGCATTCTGCACAGAATATGCTTAAAGGCATCATTTTCTGAACTTCAGTAATGACTGTATTCATGCAACTCTAGTCCATTTCCTTTGAATTAAAAAAATTAAGCCTCAATCTTTCAAACAATTAGTACCTAGTAGCTGATTTATCATTAACATAAACAGAAGGTCTAACTTGGAAAAAATGCACTGATTTCATGTTGTTATTCAGGTTGGTAAATGCTGAAAATTTGAAACAGTTTTAAATATTCGTGTAATAATTTACTTAGAAGTAGACAGTCCTGGGTGCAGTTATGTAATGTACAGAAAGAAATGTTTTCCTTAGCTTCTGGATGAATAATGTTTCCAAATGTGCATGCCTTTACAGAAACAAAATACTTCACCTCGTATACTCTAAGTAAAGGCAAAAATGTAAAAAGAGCGAACTAAATACAGTTACTCAAGTACTGTACTAATCAGAAATTGTGAAAATTTACACTGCGTGACTGTAACCATCTCTAGAACTCATCTATACAACAACACACGTTTAGGAAAGGCAGAAATGTAAAATGTAGTCCCATAAAATGCTACGTACATGCATATTTAGGTATGAATTTCAGAAAATATACAAAGGTATAAACACTAGCACTATGAAAGTATCTCATGCTATGCTTTAAATCAAAACGTAAAGGCATATGCATTGCAGTAATCTGTGCTCTAAGCATGTCACAGTATTTTCCAAAAGTTTGGAACTATGTATAATCATAGGCTTTTTGTATATAATGCTGCTTCAAATTGTCCGAAGGACAGCTACCACAACTAATTGCAGGGTTTTTTCCCCAGGAAACAATGCACTAAAATATAATGAGAAACAATATGTAGAAAATCATAATGAAAATGACCCTCCTTCCACCCCTCCATCCACAACTTACACACTTTTCCTTCTTTTTCCAACTTCTTCAAGTGGACTATGAGGTTATGTTCTGCTGCTAGAAGTAAATTTTCAGGGACCTCCTAATGGGAACACACATACGCATGTTGTATTTGTTTAAATATTTCCCAAATATTATTTCAATATATGAAACTCAGGGTTTATTAACACAGATTAACTCTTCTGAACTGCCATGTTGAACATTCAGTGAGTTATACAATGACCACAAACTGAGTAAATCAATTTTACACCAGTTAAACTAGTAGCCTAAAAACACATTTTTGTTTACTTTGCTCATTTTTTGCATTAGCCATTTGTATTACGCAAACTTTGGCCAACACTAAGAAGGCTGTGCTCTTCTGAGCATGATCTGCACTGGGCTGTCAGTATAGCTAAGCATTTTTAAAGACAAATTTAAGGATGCATTTCTCCACAGATACCTATCACTTCTGTTCCATGACAAGACTTGCATGGGTTTAAATATCCTTTAACAATTACTA